CATCTACTTTATACTCCGTTTCGCTGCGGATGAAGGGGCGTGTCAGGCAGTATGATTGTGCCACGGCGCCAAAACCGTCTCTGCCAGTCGCTCGAGCGAGTATGCGACAACAGCTGGTAGTAAACGAATGATACGAACGAGATGATACAGTCTTAGCACTTGCTCGCTTCCACTTAGGCAGAGAATGGATTTGGCATGCGCCAAACTCATCCCGCCTCACACGCCCCTTCCCCCAGAACGTAGACGATATATGAGTTTCGTACAATAACGTTCAAAAATGCTTACCTCGATTTTTGAAAGACATCTGGGAAGGCAACTCTCGATAGAGATGAGCTCTATCTTTCCCGAGATCAGTGTCTATCATTATTAGTGGATTGTTCAGTGGAGAATCACTCGAGATAAAGGAAATTTCACTACAATAGGGTGAAGTCTTGGACCATACTGACAAATTCACCAGCGACACTAACCTCAACGTAATATTTGACACTTCTTCCGCAGCCACGAGCCGTGACTCGTAGAACTCCCTTGAGGACCACTGCATGATCTTCTCATTCATTCTGTATTGAACGGTTAGCAATTGATTGATATTCACATTAACAAATTCCTTCGCGAGCCTTTCCATCAGAGAGACGTCAAGGTTTCCTTTGCGAGCACTGAAAATGGCTTTAAATACCTCATCAACATGGAATTAGGGCAAAACGAAGCCTTACGCTTCAGAGAGGATTGTAGAAGGAAGTTGTGCATGATCACCAGCTAGAATACATCGCTTCGCTTGAACAACCGCTGCCCAGGCAACAGGTTCCGACGCCTGCGCAGCTTCGTCTGCAAACCAAATGAGCTCCAAATTAATGTTTATCCCTTATGCGGTATTAAAATGGTTGTACCGATAATGGAATACCTATAATTATAACATCCGGATGCCAATTCACCTGCGACAATCGTTGAATAGCTGACGACGTCAACGTGCAGAAAATGGCAAGGCGCTTCTTGTAGGACTCCTGAGATTAGTAAGGACTTCAGCTTGGCACAGCCTTTTTCGCAGAAAATTAAGGGGCATGTCACGCGCAACGGGTTTGTCCAAACCAGCCAGTTGCTGAAGCGGATAAGCGACAACAATTGATGGAAACTTACTGAAACAACACACACGATGCAGACTTGCAGCTGCTTGCCTCACCAGCTGGCGGAAAACGGGTTGGCTCCCCGCCATCTGACACGCCCCTTCATCCGTAGCGAACAAGACTTTATGAAACATCAACGAGCGAAAGAAATAATTAAGTCTCCTGTGAGAGAAGCCTACCTTTATGATCTTCCATTTCAGCTTGTTCGCGTCATTCTTGAGCTTTCCTCGAACCGCCTGATCTGTTGAAGCATTCTTAAAAACAAGGTTGAAAATTCGATTACATGCTGATTTCAGTACTGAAAGAAGCTAACTGCACTACTATGAAAGGGGTTCATTACAAAGCATTGAGGGAATGTCCCGCGATAAGGCCTTGTCCACACTTTGGACTCTGGCGATTCCGCAAGAGAATTTGAGAAATGCGCATCGAGATCAACCGCTCCACCGGTAGTTGCAACCGTTAATTCAGTCTCAGAGCGCGTTCAGACTTCGCGACTGTGCGATTGGATCGACCTCCGATCACGCTATTGGGATGGATGAAATTCACAGCGGGGGAAGGGGTTCATTTTTGTTAATGTTGCTGTTTATGTTTACGTTGTTTGTTTTTTATTTGTTTTAGGTTTGTCCTTTCGTGAAGTGTCACGGATATCGCCGAAGTCGTCGTCCAAAGAGTTTCTCTGTTGTTTGAAATAGTCTTTTTCAGAGTTGTTCGCATCACATGTTTTAGTATAGCTGTTTTACTAAATGAATGCTATATTATTAGAATAATCAATCAATATTTATTCAAATATTCTAGAGATCTGTTCCAAACATTAATGGTATGTTGGCGCATGTAATACGGATATTTTCCGTTGATGCATGTTGTTGCTGCTATCGATCGCCCCTAAAGGAATTGTCTTTTTCGCTTTGAAAACGCTTCATCTTTTATTGGACATGCTAGCAGATGATTGTTATAGGTTCTGGAATCTCTTGTGATACAAAACCTCCTTTCATTCATAGTTCATTTATATTATGCAATATCAATAGGGATTCAGAA